TCACACGCCGGTTTGGGTGAGATTATCGAACTTACCGGTGAATTTTTACCATCGATCAATCCTGATGGGCATCGCTAGAGGTTTGGGGAAACATATTAGGGTTGATTCAACGACGCTTAACTTTGAAAGAGCCCGGTTTGCAAGAGTTTGTGTGGAAGTGAACCTTGCTAAACCTCTCAAGGGAACTGTGATGGTCAATGGAGATAGGTACTTTGTGGCATATGAAGGATTGACGAATATTTGTTCGTCTTGTGGGTTGTATGGGCATCTTGTTCATACATGTCCTAAGGTGAGATCAGAAAAACCGGTGGAGATGTCACAAAGCACGAGTCGGGAAGAGGTACGGGGGACCCAGGCGGAGAATGATGGGTTTACAGTTGTCCGGCGGTCGGGGAGGAGACCGGGAAAACAAACGGGGAACGCGGTGGTTGGTGCTGATAATTCAGGAGCAGATTTGGGAAGGAATCTGAAGGAGATCTCCACAAATCTCGTAACAGCAAACAGATTTGGGGAATTATAAGTTGATATGGTATCTGCGGAATTAAGGGAAGTACCTATTTTATTGGAGGGAAATAAGGAAAACGGGGTTGTGGTAAATCAGACAAATAAAGGCAAGAGTGTGTCGCAAGGTCCAAGTGGCGTAGGAGGAGAGTCTCGGGGTAAAGGACAGGAAGGAGCATGTAATGGGCCTAAGGGCAAACGGACTGGGCTTGGTAAGCCTAATGTGGTTAACGGGCCAAGATTAAAACAGAGTGTGGTCAATAGGCCAACACGTGGACTAGTTTTCGGCCCACCAAGGGAAGAAATGGTATTGTCGGCATCTGGGAAGCGGCTTTGTGTTGAAAACAGAGTTGCGGGACGCCCAGGAGGATTTTTTGGAGTAGAAGGTGCCCGGAATCAAACGAAGGAGACATTATTGGAGGAGCGGGATAATGTACTTGGGAATGTTAGTATGCCGCTGCCAATTGAGCAGTCGGGTCGGGAATTGGAAGTGCAGAGTCCTCCGCAGACGGAGGCGGGAATGACGGTGGCATAATGTTTGTCCCCGGGGGTTCGAATCTTGTTTTGCAAATTATCAATGAATTGCTTATTTTGGAATTGCGGGGGGGGGGGGCGAATAAACCTAATTTTAGAAGATCCATACGATATATGTTGAAGAAATTCAATACCGATATCTTGGCGATCTTTGAGACACATGCGAGTGGTGATGCTGCGAGTCGGATTTGTAGGGGACTTGGTTTTGAGAATTCTTTTCTAATTGATGCAGCTGGTCAGAGTGGTGGACTATGGTTACTTTGGCCGTTCCACGGTGGGGACGGTGACTATTGAGAACTCCTCTGATCAGTTCATACATGCGTTGGTGGAGAATGAACAAT